GGCAGGTAAATATGGGATGAACAGGAAGGTAATTAGGGTCGGGAGTTTAATTAGTAGGGGTGGGGTGTAGTTAAGGTGTGGAGGGGGCTAATTAAGTGGTTAAGGGGGGTAATTAGGGCTTGGGGGGGGGGATCTCACCTTAAGCTCTGCCCCCTGCTCCTCATCCCCGCCCTGGAAGGGGCGGAGCTCGGCCAGGGGCCGCACGCAGGCCCGACGCCGCGCCGGGGGGTCCCAGCAGTCCACGGCCTGGGGGGAAGGAGCGGGGCTTGGTGAAAGGGATGGGGCTTGGTGGCCAATAAGGGGTCCTTGGTGGGATAGAAGTGTCCAATAGGAAACAAAGGAGAATGGAGGGGGTGGAGCTTGGTGGAAGGGGTGGGGGTTGGGTGGCAGGATGGGGCCTGCAGAAAGGGGGTGTGGCCCAGACGACACCACCACCACCAATAACCTCATAGGAGCTAATTGGGAAGAAAAGAGAGTGGGGCTTAGACCAGGGGGCGGAGCCAAAACCACCCCCCTCCCCTAGAGGATCTAGTAGGAGCCAATGGGGAGCTCAAAACACCAGAAAAGGGGACGGGAGAACAAGAACTGTGGGGGCGGGGGCTAAGCACCTGGGGGTGGGGCTAAGGGCCTGGGGGGYGGGGCCAATCCCTATAGAGGAGCCTGTAGGAGCCAATGGGGAGCCCAAACTACCCAGAAGGTAGGGGGGTAGGGGGAGACACTGAGATACGGGAGCAGGCCTGAGGATCAGTGGGTGTGTCCCAGGGAGGGACTTAGGGCTGAGGGCAGGGCCACCTCCACCCAAAGGAGCCTTTAGGAGCCAATGGGGAGCCAGCAACACCACGAAAGGAGGAGGGAAGAGAAACGAGGGTGGGACTGAGGGCCAGTGGGACTGAGGGCCAAGGGGCAGTGGGCGYGTCCGGGGGGGCAGGGCATCACCTGCAGCAGCCGGCGGGCAGCACGGGGCCCGTGGGCGCCCAGGCGGCGACAGGCGCCAGCCAGCGCCGTGAGCACCCCAGGGTGCCCCTGGGCGAGTGGCGCTGCCAGTGCTGGGCCCAGCTCCCGCAGTGCCGCCCCCACCTGCGCACAGGGGGCAGGGCCTCAGGGACACGCCCCACGTGCCACAGACACCACCCCCTTTCAATCTCCCTCCTCCCCCACTTCCCAACCCCTTCTGCCTTGGCTCCCCCCTCCTTCAATGAGGGTGCCCTATGCCCCGCCCCTTCCTCCCCACATCACAGGGGGCGTGGCCCTAAATCCCCCACCCGCCCCTCTCTGCCCCCCATTCGCAGCCTCCCAGAGCTCCCCCGCCACCGCCAGGCCCTGCCACCACCAGCCCCACCCTTTGTGATGTCACAGGAGACAGGGCCTAAGAGTCCTCAACCCCAGTGAGCCCCTCCAACTGCAAGCCCCGCCCCTCCGAGCTCCGCCCCTGCCACGTGATGCAGGGGGGGCGTGGCCTAAGAGCTCCCAAACCGCCTCCCAGCCCCTTTTAGCCTCTCCTGGCCCATTCCAGTCCCGCCCCTCCCCAAGCCCGGCCCCCTCACCACATCGGCCGGGGCGTGGTCCAGCAGGCGCTGCAGACCGTGATTGGCCACGCGGTGGCAGGCGAGGCCCTGCAGGCGGCCCTGGAGCTGCTCCCGGAAGAGGCGCCGCAAGAGGCGGGGCCCAGCCACCGTCATGGCCGCCTCGGCCAGGCGGCTCCGTGTGGGGTCCTCAAGTGCTGCCACCAGGGGGCTGCGGGGAGTCAATCAGGGCACGGGCAGCCCAGGGGCGGCAACCAATGGGATGCAGGCAGGGAGCGGGGCCCCTAGGGCCTCCAGCCAATGAGAAAAGGGCAGCGGATGCAATAAGAAGCGGGTGGCAACAGGAGCATAGCCAACAGGAACAGAAGCCCAAGCCAATGAACAATGGGAGTCCTGGAAGCTCTGTCCAATCAGAGCTTTATACTCAGAATGCCTCAAGCCTCCAGCCAATGAGAAAGGGAAGCCTGAGGGGCCCGGCCAATCAGAAATGGGTGCATGGGAGCCCCGGCCAATGAGAAATGGTATCATTAGCACCCCTGCAACTACCAGCCAACAGGAATGGGAGCCCCAGAACCCCACCCAATCAGAAAGGGGAGCCCAGGAACTCCCAACCAATCAGCAAGGAGCTTTCTGGGCCCCCAACCAATCACCCTGTGGCCTTCAGGTGCCCCTGACAAATCACAGACGAGCCCCACAGCACTCCCAGCCAATGAGGAGCTTCAGATTGGACGACCAATCAGCAGTGAGCATCCAACGCCCTCCCCCCCCCCACCCTACCGCAACCATCCAGCCATTCCCCAAAGGGCCTTTAGGCCCTCCCAGCCAATCAGGAAGCTGCCCCGCCCACCTCACAGCCAATAGGAAGTGGGAGGGTACCAGCAGCGTCACCGCAGCCAATGAGGGGGCAGTTGCTGGGCAGAAAACGCACCTGTGTGCGGGGTCGTCGCTGGGGGGAGCAAGCCAGCCAATGAGGGCCTTGCAAAGGCGGGCGCAGGCTGGTGATTGGCTGCGGTGCAGGGCGACCAGCGCCTCCTGCAGGCAGAGGCTGGCGCAGGGCGGCGACATCAGCTCTACGGGGGGTTTGGGGGGGTTAATTAACGAGATTAATTAAGGGGTGGGGGCTAATTAGGAGGAGGAATTGAAGGGGATAATTGGGGGACAATTAGGGGATGGGGTAATTAAGGGGGTCAAGGAGGCAGTTGGGGGGAATAAGGGGCTTTAATGGGGTAATTAGGGGGGCAATGAGGGCCTGGGGTAATTAGGGAGGTAATTAGGATGAGGAGGGTAATTAAGGGGGTTGAAGGGGCAATTACGGGGTAAAGAGGGGCCTTGGGGGGGGGAAATCAGGGTGGTGGGAGCCAATGAAGGGGGAGATGCCCCCAGTGGGGGGATATTTTCCCCTCCCCTCAAGTGGGTATTTACCTGAAGGAGGCAGGTATTTACCGGGGGGGGGGGGGGGGAGGATGAGGCGCGCGAGGTGCATTTAATCCTTTGGGTATAAATTCAGGGCGGGTATTTACCCTATTCAGGGGTTGTTTATCCGGAGGAAGGGCACCCTAGGAGGGGTTACTTACTCCCCTTGGGGGTTATTACCCAGGGCGTGGGGGTGGGAACGGGTATTTATGGCCGCTCACCTGGCAGATGCTGCTCGAAGGCCTCAGCCAGCTCCTCCAATAGGGGCCGCAGGGCCAGGGGAGGCCCCGCCCCTTTAAGGCCTGGCCCTGCCCCCAGGGGCTCCAGCCCCACCCCACTGCACCCTGGCCCCTCCCCCGGCCGGAGTCCTGTCGTGGGCAGGGGGGTTAAAACAGCCCTGAGTTTTCCCAGTCCCTCTTTAATTAATTAACTCCTTTAATTGTCCCCCCATTTAATTAACCCCCTCAATCACCTCTAGGCCCTTTAATTGCCCCCTCCATTGCCATTAATGGCGCATTCCCACCCTCTAATCGCCCCTGGACCTCCCCCCTCAGTTGCCCCCTAACCTCCTATTGCCCCCTAACCTCCTATTGCCCCCTAATTATCCCCCCTGGGACCCAGTTGCCTCCCGGACCCTCTAATTGCCCCCCATTGTCCCCCAATAACATCCCTTTCCCCCCTAATTACCCCCCAAGCCCTCTAATTACCCCTAAGACCCCATAATTACCCCCAATATTCCCCTAATTCCGCCCCACCCCCTTTCCCCATAATTACCCCAAACACCCCCTAACACCCCCCAATTCCTCCCTAATTGCCCCTACCAGCCAGGGCGCGCAGCAGGGCCCGCAGCAGCAAGGCGGCCGCCGGGTGCTGGGCGGAGGCCACGAGCTGCCCCCGCACCGAGGCCACAAGCGCGGCCAGCGCCGCCTCCAGTGCCGCCACCCCGGGGGGGCCTTGGCGGGTCCCCGGGGGTGTCTCAGGGGTCCCCGCCA